GAGCCGAAACATCATCATTCGAAGCAGCTGTGTCAGGAGCATCGTCCTGGCTTTCTGGAACGCCTGATGGCCTCGCTGGACAACATGTGCAAGTGCCAGCCTCAGCATGCTCACAGCATCATYGACGATCTGCCCTCGCCGAAGTGGAACAAAAAGGCCGCCGCTCGACACACTTGCATCGGCATMTATCCCTTTGAGCACGGCTGCGCCGACTACTTGAGCACCACGGATACGCATCCCAAGATTAATTCAATTGTCCTGGCAGATCGAGCCACGACATATGCCACACACTTTTGGGCCGAGTTCTTTGGACTGCTGCACATTGCCGTCGCCTTCGTGGTGTCCTTTCTGCTGCAATCCTACCGATTCCTGCTCTACTCTCTGGTCAACACTCTGATTGTGGGTCTTCTCCACACGACCTCCGATTATTTGGTCAAGCCCTTCTTGACGGTGATCTTCAATGGTTTCCTCCAGCCGCCGATGATATTTTTGTATAATATCATGTGCTCACTGCGCGATATATTAGAACCCCTCGCCGAGACATTGGCTCACTTTATCAAGCCATTGGCCACGCTGGGCTCCAGCCTGAGGCTGATCCATGTCAACTATCGCAATGTGCGTCGCTTTAGCAAGGATGTGTGAGCCGTTTCTTCATCTGTTTTTAATTATTTTGTATCAAATTGTTCTCAAATGTTTAAAGAAGTTTAGTTGTTGCTTTAAATTTGCTCTCTGCTGTTTCATTTTATAACGTTTCGCTTGGCATTGCCCACTGTTTCATTCCACTTGGTTCCGGCTRCGGTAGGAGGAGCCTGTGCTATCAACCCTCAGGCAGCTTGCTCTCCCAGCTGTCGCTGTCGCTGCTCTCGCACCCAGCAACAGGATTATATTGGACATACCTTGTTCCGCTGCTGCAACACAATCTTACGCACATAGATATATAGAAATCGGATCGGGTTACATTGTTTGCTTCGCTTGTTCATGGAACTGTGCAACCATAACGACCTGGTTGCCCAGCTCTGCCCTCACTCCCGCTCCAGCTCCAGCTCCCTTTCCCTCTCTCACTCCTCTGCTAAGGGTGGTTCGAGCTCAG